TGCCGGCCAACGTCTGCCGGAAGTGGGGCCGCGCCCTGCGTCCGGTCGGCCGCGGCCGCCATTTTGAGGAGGGCAGACGAGGGAAAGGGACTAAAACCCCGCCCAGGAGTGGCAGCCGGGCCTCTCCTGTGCGGGGAGGAGCGCAGAGCGGAGCTGCTCCCCCCTCCCACGACAGCAGCTAGTGAGCAGGATGCAATAGGTGCACTGCAAGCAGGGGCTAGGGCTGGCCCTTCATCAGCCCTCCCAGGCCATTGGCAATCATGGGAAAAGCTCCTCCGGAGAGCGGCTCCATCAAGTCACTTTGACTGCACCAGCTTGCAGGGCAAACCGCCCTTCATCAGAAACCCAGCCAGCTGCTCCCCCCTCCCACGACAGCAGCTAGTGAGCAGGATGCAATAGGTGCACTGCAAGCAGGGGCTAGGGCTGGCCCTTCATCAGCCCTCCCAGGCCATTGGCAATCATGGGAAAAGCTCCTCCGGAGAGCGGCTCCATCAAGTCACTTTGACTGCACCAGCTTGCAGGGCAAACCGCCCTTCATCAGAAACCCAGCCAGAGCTAGAACAGCAGGAACAGTCCCTGTCAATTGCAGCACCCATCTTAATGAGGCTAATGAAGTGGGCTGGACATCTCCCCTTCCTAGCTTCTGATGTGGAAATGCAGATGTTAAAGGCAGCAGAAAGGCCCATCAAAAGCTACATTTGGGACAAACCCTCCCCAGCCTTCTTTTCTGAAGACTAAACAGGCTTTTTTTCTTTAAATCTTTCCTCGTCGATCAGGTTTTCTAAACCCGTATCATTGTGTTGCTCTCTCTGGACTCTCCAATGTGTCCACATCTTCCCTAAAGCAGAACTGGGCTGTATTCCAGCACAGGCCGCTCTAGTGCTAAGCACTACAAAGCAATATCCACTCTTGTCTGACCTAGAACACTCCTGTTACGACAGCCCACAGTGTTAGCCTTTTGTTTGCAACTGTTGACTCATAATCCAATTTGTAATCCACTGTCTGTCCCCGAACCTTGTCAGTGGTATGACCGCACTGCATCAGTTACTCGCCATTTTGTAGATGGGGATGTGTGTGTGTGTGTACACTTCATACAAGACAAGGTCTTGCCTAAACAAGTCAGCACCACGCTTCCCTGTAAGCTGAGTGCTTGGACAGCCCCCCAGGTGAGATTAAAATGCTGCCCATCAGATTAGCAAAGTGCCCACAGCATGTGTTGCTACTGGTGGTGCACATCTGCACATGCCTCAGTGTACACATTTATTCCACACACGTGGAAAAAAAATTAGAGGTACCATTGATCAGAACCACTAATTATAGCACAAGGGCCTTTTCTTTCACCCAGCTCGGCTTACAAGTATTGAACACTTTTAAAATCGCCTGTCTCATGTTCCGCATTCGTGACTCAAAAAAATTGCAGCAAATTGAGCTATTTGGTTGCTTGGTTACTCCTCTGTTCTGACAGGAAGCTGAGGAGAGAAAAAGGTACCTTTGATGGAATTAATTCGGGGAGGCTGACATCCTATATACAATCTGCAGTTGTGGGGTAATAACAATGCCCGGCTTTTGCCCAGTGTGTTACAAATACTGCCACCACAGTGCTTTACAGAGGGCAGTAGCGCTAGCCCGTGTTACAGAGGGGAAATCGAGTTAATGTTATTTCTTAGTTAAAACATCAGGGACCGGATGGCTTGGGTATTGAGAATGGGACACAGCCCTTTCCGCAGCACCCAGCCAAGTCCAGCAGATGCCATCAGAAGCTTTTGTGTGATGGCTACGCCACAAAAAGCTTCTTTTGGCCCATGCTACGCACAGCAGGTCAGCACAGTGCCTAGAGGCTGAGCCCCCTCCCCTGGTTAGGACTGACTGCCCTAGGGCGCAGCCTGTTGTACTGCAAAAAGTTATTAAATGCTCACTTAGTTCACTATGTCTCCACGGCTTTCCAGGCCCAAATTACTGGTTGACATATCAGATCTGAGCAACAGACTGGAAGCATCTCAATGCAAGGGTGGGGGTGGGGGATATTCACAGCACGGTCACACATTCTGGTTGGAATTTGTTAAGGGAGCCTACAAGAATTCCCATCTAGGAACTCAGTACTCCATTGCCTGAGAAACCAGCGGCAACCCCAGTTTTTATCACCACACATGTAAGGGGGAGGGCTGCCATGTGGCACCCTGTCTTCTGCATTCCCTTCTTCCCATACTCAGAACTAGGACAGCGTGTACACAGCTGCTCTAAACACACCATGCTCAGGGCCGGCTTTAGGAAGTGCGGGGCCCAATTCGAACAGTTTCGACAGGGCCCTAGCAGCCAGGATTTTTTGAGGGAAAAAAACCAAAACCCACCACACAGCACACACACACAAGTGTCACAATCCCTTTAAATCTCCAGCTACAGGGCAGAGTCCCGCCTTCACGCCAAACCCCGGGGACGACTCCCCCTCCCGAGGCGCAGAGAAACTCCTGCACTCGACTCACTCCTCCTGCGGCGCAGGGGAGCCGCCGCGCTCCTCTTCCGGGGCCGACACCCCTTCCCGCAGCGCACCCGGCACGCCAGCACACTTCTGGCTTTCGGGCACGGGACCCTCTTAGGCACGGGGCCTGATTCAGGGGAATCGGGCGAGTCGGCCTAACGCCGGCCCTGACCACGCTGCCCTCTGTCAGGTGAAAGGTAAAAAAAAAAACCTCACGGGAATCAACAGTCTGATTGCCCTCAACCTCTTCCACACCCCAGAAATCTGTCACTGGCCTCCAATAATTAGACTCCGAGTCAATTCACTCTACACAACGGTAAAGGCAGCTTGCTCACGGCGTAACCGTTTCTGCCCTGCACACAGCAGCCTGACCTGTCACAGTGGAGCTGAGGGACCAGGTCTCCTCCTCCTCCATGTACACACACACGCGAATTCAAGCTCAAAGGGAGGTTTAGGTTGGACACGAGGAAAAACTTCCTGCCTGTCCGGGTGATGAAACACTGGAATCAATTGCCCAGGGAGGTTTTGGAATGTCCATCACTGGAGATATTGAAGAGCAGGTTAGACAGACACCTGTCAGGGATGATCTACACGGTGCTTGGTCCTGCCGTGAGGGCAGGGGACTGGACTTGATGACCTCTCAAGGTCCCTGCCAGTTGGAGTGTTCTATGATTCATGCTTGAAAAAAATATTAAAACTATGAGTGAAAAAATGTTTTATTTGGTCATTATAACAAATAGCAAAATAAAAAAGGCTTTTTAATTCCAAACCATCACTCCCCTCACTTGCACAGGTCAGAACTTACTCTGCCCAATGCAGTTATTTTCATGCCTCAATCAGGGATCCCCAAACATCACCATTCCCATACCCCGTATATTCCCTTCATCGAACAAGTGGATTTAAACATTCAAATGCTTATTGCAAATTTGCATGCAGGAAAGGAAAAAAAAAGAAGTCCCAGCTGACATCTCATCCCAATACTCACAAGGAAGAGTTGGAATAAAGAGCTAAATATAGTAGTACATTTACTCTGGAAGGCAAAAAAAGGTTAAATGTGTTAAAGAATGGAGAACTTGTGTCCGATGCCAACACTTGATTCTGTCTGGTAGAGAAAGTCATGGTCTCAGCTTTGCTCTAACTACATGATGAGCCCTCCCCCTCTAATTGGGATAAGACACCACTTGATCATGACCCAAACTGCTGTAACAAAGGGACACTTCTACCCTGCAGCTGGCAGCAAGCTACCCGGCTCAGGAAGACGGACTCATGTTAGCTCAGCTAAAAACAACAGTGTGGATGTGGACACAGAACCTCACGCTAGTCCCCCGAGCTCAGACCCAAAGGACTGGGTGGGTCTGAGACCCGGAGCTGCTGTCTCATCTACACTGTCCCCACTGCTATTTTCTGTGCACTAGCTGGAGCCAAGCTAGCATGGGTCTACCCAGCTGGGCTGGGAGGCCTTGCTGCTGTTGCAGAAGAGATGCACCTGAAGTTCTTAACCAAGCAGAATATTAGTTGCAAAACTGTTTCAAATTAACTTTTTACTAACACTGGCTACGCCTTTTTCTGTATTTTTCATTCTTTTATAGAGAAATTTTACGGTAAAAAACAATCTAAGACCTATTTATTCCACACTAGCGTTACATGAAAGTCGTATAAAAACATTCAATACACTGGCTCATTTTGGTTTTGCTAGTAAAAAACGTTTGATTAAAAATGGCGCATTTGTTATGAGATGCAAATCTTCACTAGGCGTGAAAGACCAATGAGACCTCTCAGTCTAAAACCTCAACCCCGCCCCCCAAAAAAGAAAAGTTCTCCTCTTCCCATGCTCTTCCTGTTCTCTGTGTATAATCCTGCTTGCAAACGCTAGTAAGGTGAGAGCTGGGGTAGTGATCAAATACTTCTATGCAGTGTTGTCTGATGTAGTACATAGGCCTGGAATCTGAATTAAAGGTATAAACTTCAGGTTTTCCAGTAAGTAAAAAAATACATATAGGAAGAGATGACGACTTTTCTTATACCACAAATAGATTGATCAGTTTTCTCCTGCAGTAACTGATGTCAGCTTTCATTGTACATGTTCAAGTACAGGCAAAACAGTCGCCATTCAAGCTGTGAAAATATTAAAGAAAAGTCACGTGAAAAATATTCCAGGCAGCAGAGTTTCGATCTGACTGGGGCGGTCTCGTTACAAAAAGCCCGGCCAGGTTTAGTGCACAGCAGTTTAGCTAATACTAATGGTAGACGTGGCAGGCTACGGAACAACAGAGCATACATGAAATAAGCCAGTCCCTGTTTGCACCCGGACTGTGGCTGCCATCCTTCAGTGTGTAGGTTGCAAAATAAAACAGTGATTAATACACAGGCTTTCCTGCCAACTGGGAGGAGATGGCCTGCAGGGAATAGATTTTCTCTTCTGCCCTGAATTATGCGAAGCCCTTTATTTCCCCCAGCTGACTTTGCATAGAATACATCATACAAATGTAGGGACCCTTCACAGCTGCATATCTGAAGACTTAAAAACAAATCAGATTGCACCTTAATGGATCACATGTATTACAGCATCATTCTGAGGGGGAAAAAGAGAAATTATTGTTTCTGAAATATCTAAAGACAACGGGACACCTGTCTCTCCCTGTGACTATACAATACTGCTTTGTTTGCCCCTGCTAAACACGAATCAAATTGTCTACACTAGGTCTAAACTTAGCCATTCACTCCAACTTCTCTGCACAGTCTCTCCCTGAAAACTCATGGCAGCCACTGAACCATGCTGGGTTAATTCCGATGTAGCTCCCAACCCTACAAACACTTACGCAGGTGCTAAGTCAATGAGATGGCTCAGGAGCTCAGTTCCTCGCCTGCCAAGGTGTTTGCAGGTGGGGGTCTAAGTGATTCGTCGTCGTTGTAAGCTACTTCTCCTGAAAGTCAACTGGGTGCTGGTGAAAGACAGCGGATGTTGGCCTCCTTGGAGATTTGTGTCCCATCTAGCTAGAGAACAAGATTGTGCTACTGGTCCTGGTAGCACCATTGCTACAGATGACTTTCCAGAAAGAGAATTACAGAATTTAGACCCATCTTATCCCTCTTCCAAACATGAATAATGCAAAAAAACACTGAGCACAGGACATGGGGAAATGAACACGCTCTGCCACCACATCTGTGCTGCCTTGCTTACATTGGGATATGTAGTGTACAGAAATCCTAGCACCTCAGAAACGTACAGGGAATCTCTAACAAACGGAACTCTAGCTTCTGGGCATTGCTTCCCCATTTCCAATGGCTACAGACTCTCAGGCAGATGCAAACTTCCCTTTAATCAACCTGACCACAGAGCGAGTCACCCTGCTGGCTATTTGCAAGTTTCTCCCCTGCTCCAGAATAACTAGGCTCACAAAAGGGAGGAGGCACGATACAGTGCAAAGCTGAATCTGGCTGTTGAGAAGTAACCAAAACATAACCTGTCGATATCATATCAAAGTGTGTGTCAAAATATTTCTAGACAGAAGGCCGAGAGGGTTAAGTTGGGTTCACCTGCTCCAGCACAGTAAAGTGAACACATCAAAAGGACGAACCAACTTCTCAGAAGGACAAACCAACTTCTCAGTTTGTTTCATTTGCTACAAAATAAATAGAAGTTTTGCAAGGTCGCTCGGTGTTACACAAGGCTTTTACAGATCCTCCACGGCAGCAGCCCAATTCTCTTCTCTTGCCTCTTCCGCCAGTCCCTCTGCAGACTTGCTCCCTGTGTGCTCCATGAACATGTTGGGAATATCTTTGCCAAAATAGATTTTGCTGTTTGATGCAATAGCTTTGTATTTCATCAGCTGCAAGTACTCGGGGGTCAGTTTCAGCTGCATGAAGAGAAAACGGAACATCAGCAGCTGCCCAGAGTTACTGACTAAGGAGCTGTCGTGATGTCCCGGAAGGGTGCCTTTTTTCCATAGCACGAGTGTACCTGGCAGACTCCCTAAGGCAGGGGTCTCCAACTCAATTTACCTTGGGGCAAGTTACTGTCCTCAAATCCTCCCCGGGGGCCAGAGGGCACCCCTCTGGCAGTGGCTCTGGGGGATGGGTCCTAGAATCACAGAGCTGGAAGAGACCTCAGAAGGTCATCAAGTCCAGCCCCCTGCCCAAGGCAGGAACAACCCCAACTAAATCCCCCCGGCCAGGGCGTTGTCAAGCCGAGACTTAAACACCTCTAGGGATGGAGATTCCACCCCCTCCCTAGGGAACCCAGCCCAGTGCTTCCCCACCCGCCTAGGGAAATAGTTTTTCCTGATCTCCAACCTAGACCTTCCCCACTGCAACTTGAGACCATCGCTCCTCGTTCTGCATCCGTCCTCTGCATTTTCCCCCTTCTCCCGCATCTCCCAGCCCCACCTGCTGACCTGGGCGACCCCCCCCCCATTTAAAATCCACTGGGGGCTCCTGCCGCCGTCACCAGCAATGTAGCGGGGGCTACAGTGGCTTCCTGCTGCCGGCATGTCCCTGTGTCTTGGGGAGGTGCAGAGCCGTCCCGGCCATAGGTGTAAGCTGTGACACTCAACTCATTTTGGAACTGTCTAGACATCAGTATTGCCAACGCTCCTGATTTTATCACAAGCCTCCTGATGACTGGGCCCTCCCCCTCCCCGGGAATGCCCCAGCCAAGTCCTTGTGCTGGGATCCCCCTCCCCTGCCTGTGTTACTAACAATGAAACCCTGGGCCCGGCCCTGCCCTGCTGGCTGCAGAAGCGTCAGCTCAGGCGACTCCCTGGCCAGTGCCGTTCGCATCACAGCGGAGGAGGCCAGCATGGCTCCCCGGACCGAGAAGCCCGCTCTGTGGCCGGGACTCTGGGAGCATGGGTGCTGCTGGGAGCCATGGGAATAGGGGAGTCCCCGCGTGCCACCCACTTTTCACTCCCTGGCTGGCAGCTGCGCGGGCCTGGTTACATAACTTTTCCCAAATATTTCGCGGGCCGGACTGGGGAAGTTCTCAGGGCACGGATGGCTCCCGAGCCGGGCGTTGGAGACCCTAAGTCATGAACTCTCATCTTGTTCCTATTTAAAGAAACAGCAACAAACCTGATGTTTGCTTCTGGGAACCACTGGCCGCGATCCCTCTAACTCTACACCCGAGGGTTTTGTCCATATGATTCCCCCCCCCCCACACACACACTTGCTACTCCCCAGCAGGTTCCTGGCTCTGTTAGCTTGATTAATTCCATGATTCTGATCTGGCTTGTAATCACATCATCTTGTAACAAGCATCCTCTAGCGCAGGGGTGGGGAACTGCAGGCCTGGGGGGGGGGGGGGAAGAGCAGATGCGGTCCCTGGCTTGCCTGGATCTGGCCCCTGAGGCTCAGGGATCCCCCCTGCATTGGGAAGCCCACGCAAGCCCTCCAGCCCCCCACCCACAGAGCTGGAGCACACAGAATCTGCTAGCCTGGGCCCCCTTAGGCTCCGGTGTGCGAGGGGCATGTGGGGAGTGGTGTTCTCCTTTTCAGCTAGGGGCTTCTCACTTGCGTGTGGCCCCCGACCCAAATGAGGTTCCCCGCCCCCGCTCTAGCCGCCGCTCCCTTGTGCGGTACGTTTGCCAGCGGCACGGCGCGGGAGGTAAAGGATTCTGGGGGCAGCAGAGAGAGAGCATCGCGCTGAAGTGCGGCCCCTCCAGCCCTCTCCAGAGGGGCGCTTGGTCTCAGCAGCATTTTACGGCACTGCCTCCCTGGAGCACAAGCCAGCACGTTTGGGCTTCCTCTGGAGAGATTCACATGGACAGAAAAGGACAAACTATACGAGCTCTCTGGCACAAGGACCATCTCCTGGTGCGTGTCCAGCACCGAGCACAATCGGATCTGGCCCATGACAACGTGCAAACAAATACCTTGTTCGCCTCGGCTATCTTCATGGCAGTGTAGCATTCAGCGTCAGCTTTTGCCTTCTCCCTAGCAAGGAATGCACCGTCTGTAAGGAAACCCGGGGCAGTCATTAGACACATGGTGTGCATTAGCTGTCACGTGTCTCGCACACCGTGTTTGGACCGATCTTTCTATTTACAGTAGCACCCACGCTAGGGGTGTTCGAAATGGTGATTACTGTAACCAGGTAGCTGCTAAAAATGTTAGCGGTTACACGCTGGCTCTCCGGGAGCAGGGCCAGCAGCCAGCACACTCCCAGGGAGCCAGCTGCAGTCACATGCTGCAGACTCTCATACAGAGTCAGCAGCGCAGGGCGATAGTTGGCTCCCTGGGAATCAACACTCACTGGGGGGCCGGCTCCCAGCATGCACCAGCTGTTGCCCTGTGCTGCTGTCTTTGATACAGAGGCAGCAGCGCAGGATGGCAGCCAGCTCCCTGGGGGCCAGACTGGGAACCAGTGTGTAATCACTCGGGTAAGCGATACATCCCTAATCCACACACTGGCAAGGTATCACCACTTCTGAGCGATGGGCGGCGCACCTGGGCCCTGGGGGAAGAAATGGGGCTAGAAGCTACAGTCTCTCCCCACACCTGAGAGGTAATGGGATGCTCATGCACCAACGTGTCCCTGCAAGAGAGGAACATGGTTAATCTCTTCCCCCGCCTCCAAAATCAGCCACCTCTTGGGGAAAAGCAACGCAGCTGTCGCACTGCAGAACAGCACGCAGCAATCCCACACGTCATGTCTGGATAGGACATCAGGAACACCCCCATCCAATGGAAACTATGGGGGATGTAATTACCCTAACTGGAATTTGGCCAGGACCCTGGGGTTTGCGCCCCCAATTCTTGTGTAAACTCAGGCCCTTGGATGGTCTCACAGATGCAGCGTTTCCCAGGATTTCAAGAGCTGGGCAAACAAAGGGTTTGGTTCTGCAAGAGGCTGAGTGCTCAAGTCTTAGAGAAGCACCTCGGAATCCGGCAGGGATACAAGAGGAAACATTTTATGAAGGTCACGTAAAGAAAACCACTTCCCCATTGCCTGTTGGATTCTTCCTTTCCCCCAGACTTTTGGTGGGCAACCATCTTTAATGGACACTCCCTCCTCTTATGTGAGCAGAGCCACGCTTCTCTGTACGGCTCAGTATGGCCCCTGGATGCTGCTTCAGGGCACCCGACTCAGGTAGCAAGCTCAGTCCCAGCTTGTCAGAGTTCGCTGGGCTCCTGTTCCAACTGCTGCAAGGCAAGCAGCTGGAGAAGCCATTCCTTTCTCTCTGCCCATGGGGAGAACGGCTCCGTTTCAACGCACCCCCAGCAGCTGGAAGGCTGCGAATCGAGGCTTCGCTCCATTTGGCCAACTAATGAGAACAGCTTGGCCGGCTCAGAAAGAGCAGCAGGAAAGGCTGAGGCAGGGCAGAAATTCCCTGCTTGCAGGGCTCCCGGGCCTCTGCCTGGTACGGAGCGGGCGTGACGGCCTGGCATCTGGTGACATGTGTTCACAAGAAATAAAAACTCTTGTAGGTCTGCTGGGACCTTCTTAATGAGAAGCTGCTGATCTGTAAAACTCTAATTGGCTTCTCCGTGGGCTGCTGCGAAGCTTGACAAGGCCTATAACGAGCATAATTGGAAATGGGGCCGTGCAGCTCGGAGCCAGGGGCGGAACCCCTTTCTTGCCCTGGAATGTGCCTGCCGCAAGGCCCTGCATGGCGGGGAAGCCCGCTCGGTTCAGAGCCTGATGCCAGCCCAGCAGCACCTCGGAGAAGAGGAAAATGAGCAGGGAGATGCCACGTGCAAGAAAATGCTCCCACTCCTGCCCCTACCCAACACTGGTTCCTAAAAGCAGCCAGCAAGGCAGCCGTCCGTGGGGCAGACAGAAGACAGGGCTTGTTTACCGTGGCTAACGCTTCAAAGACAAACACTCATTTGTTTAGCCTAGAGACGCCCACGGCTCCTCTCTAAGACACACGCCACCTTGATCTGTGGATCTTGAGGGGTACCAGGCACCTCTCTGCTTAGCTCAGAGCTGGACAAACTGGTGAGATGGGGGTGGCCACTTTTTTCCCCCCTTTAGACTAGATCAAAAGAAAAAAATCTAGAAACATGTTTATGAAAAATGCTTGGCAGGTGTCCGCGTTGTAGACAGCTTCTGAAGAACCGGGGCGGACGCCCACTTCCGTGGAACGGCATGGGTGTCACGCGTCCCGAACGGCGCGGCGCCCCACCCCAGCAGAGTTCTAGGCTAGTCCCTCTGCTGCGAGAGGCTCCGCCCGGTTCTCACACACGGCAGCGGGGGAACAGTTCTGTGGGGAGGGTGGGGGACAATCACACGGCACTGCATCACGTGCTGCTTTACCAAGCATCTTAATGTTTGTTCGGGGCTCTCCCACTGTGGTACACGGGCCAGAGCAAACGCGTCCTCCGCTCCAATAGACTCCAGGGGGCTCCAGTGTGAACCGAGGGGCGATGGGTGGAAACGAAGAGAAGAATCTGAGCAAACTAGCAGGCAAATATGTTTTGAACCTTGCAGTGCCTTTTGAGGGTAATTCCAGCAACCCCACACAGGGGTCAGTATGAAAGGCCTTGATACTTTCATAGGGGGCATGTTGTGGTTAGGCTTTGGCCAAGTCAGATGCTCGTTCTGTGCCTCCGTTTACCCATAAGATCCCCACAGGGATCCCCACTTTACAGCTGCACCGCAAGGAGTAATCAAAATATCTGTAACGTGCTTCGAAATCTTCCAATAAGCAGCACAAAGGACTTTGCTTTTCGGAAAGGCTGTGGCTCACCTTCTATCTCGGAGATTTTCTTCTCGGTTTCCTTTTCCATCACCTTCTGTCCATATGTTATTTCGGCCACTTGGGCAATTTTTTCTGCCTCTGCATTGGTAAAGGAAACATCTTGATGCCCAAAGAATTACGACCCAAGCTCCTTTCCCACAGGAGACCTCTCAGCCACACCCCCCTTCTACTCCTCTGGCAAAGCCAAGCCCAAGAGGGTCGATTTACACTGCAACAGGAGGTACATCTGCAATAGGCAGAGACACATGAGCCAGTTTTGATCTAGCTACCTTGGGTACCAAGAGCCTGAAGCCCACAGGGAGGCAGCATATGTAGTTGGGCGGCTAGTCCATGCTGCATTCTACACATAAGAACATAAGAACGGCCGTACTGGGTGAGACCAAAGGTCCATCTAGCCCAGTATCCTGTCTGCCGACAGTGGCCAGCACCAGGTACCCCAGAGAGGGTGGACCGAAGACAATGATCAAGCGATTTGTCTCGTGCCATCCATCTCCAGCCTCTGACAAACAGACACCAGGGACACCATTTCTATCCCCTGGCTAATAGCCTTTTATGGACCTAACCTCCAGGAAATTATCTAGCTTCTCTTTAAACTCTGTTATAGTTCTAGCCTTCACAGCCTCCTCTGGCAAGGAGTTCCACAGGTTGACTATGCGCTGTGTGAAGAAGAACTTTCTTTTATTAGTTTTAAACCTGCTCCCCATTAATTTCATTTGGTGTCCTCTAGTCCTTCTATTATGGGAACTAATAAATAACTTTTCTTTATTCACCCTCTCCACACCACTCCTGATTTTATAGACCTCTATCATATCCCCCCTCAGTCTCCTCTTTGCTAAACTGAAAAGTCCCAGTCTCTTTAGCCTCACTTCATATGGGACGCGTTCCAAACCCCTCATCATTTTAGTTGCCCTGCGGTGGGCCTGGTGGAGTGTAGGCAGGGGCTGCTCCAGCCTGGCCACAAGCAAGGAGCGGGGGCCACTCCAGCCCACCTGGGCTAAAGCAGACTCCCCGGATAAAGCACTGACCTTCATGTTTATCCGGTAAACCAATGTCATGGGCTTTTACTTCCCTAACTGATATCCAAGCTTGATTAAAGCTACTTTGGGTGCGATGACACATGCTGCAAGCAGACCTCCCGTTGCAGTGTGGCTACACCCCCAGGCTCCACACCCACCTAGGCACTGTCAGCCCCTGGAGGTTCAGACACACATCAGGGAATGTTTGCAGGCAAAGCGAGCACAGGAAAGCCACCTGCCAGGTCCAGAGCTGCACGGGGGCTTTGGGGACCAACCCGAGAGAGAACACTGTTGAACGGAGCTGTTCAAAGAGCTCACAGCAGCCGCCCAGATTAGGGGGAACTCATTTTAAAACAGACCCAGGAACACGTGGCTGCAACATCCAGAATTTTCCAGTAGAGAAATTCACAGCAAGCCCCTTGTTTGCACATCCAGTGGGGCAATTAGGCTTGCTATGGCCAGAACGTGGCTAGACACGTTAGCGCTTCCCTGCCCCTTCCCACGTCACGCACCATTAACCTAGTTTGCAGTCACTTTCTTTAAAATCTCTTAGCGCCACCACCAGGCTACGCTGCCGCTCTCACCAGCCCCAGCTGGGGCACAGCTGCTGCATGTACTTCCAGAGAGGTGTTTGGGCAGCACACCCCTGCTCTCCCCGTGCCCGGAAAGTTTCTCAAGCAACCCCAGGTAGGGGCGACGCGAATACAGACCAATAAGGGCTTTCTTCCGCTCCGTCTCCGCTTCCTTCTCCACCACCTTCTGCTTCTGAGCCGCGATCAGAAGCTTCGTCTTCTCGCTCTCCCTAGTGAGCCAGAATGAGCCAGATGCAGAACTTCAGCTCCTGAGCTGGACGGGAGCCCCCGCCTCCCCTGCCATGCTTGGCTCACTGCTACCCACAGCCACGAACCTGGGTGGGATTCACTGTCTGCAGCCCGTTGTCAGTGGACAGAACAACGCACACGCTGCCTTGCTAATGTCATCGACGCCCCCACGCCATTTTTCTAACCTAACCAATAAAAAGTCGCCTGTTCCCCCACAACAAGGCAGCCTATTTGTCTGATCGGCTGCCCTTTGCTGGGTGAACCAGACCTGCCCCAGCCTGCATGTCGCCCTCCAGTGGGGGCAGTTTGTGGAGAACATAAGCACTAATGACCTGTGCATATTAACACTCTTTGTGCAGGTATCAAACCATTCAAATAGGAACATGAAGCCGGAAGTGAAGCTGTGTAAAAAACCGCAGTGTGCAACACAGCCATAGCTGCAAGTTCTCCCTGGGAAATCGCTTTCCCATCTGTAAGTACCTACCTATGGGATGTGGGGGGGTGGGATCAAATGCTGCTTTTTTTATTTAGAAAAACTGCTCCCCGTGCTGTGTGTGTCTAGTCCCTTTCTTCACTGGCCTCCTGCATTTGAAGAACAGCTCAGGGGGCAGAAGTCAGGCCTGAAGAACATGCCGCTCTCCAAAGGACACCACACTGGGCTGCGTGTGTAGTGACAGAGGGGATTTTAGAAATATGGAATCTCCATGCTGGGAACCCATCACACACCTGGACTTCTGGGACTAGGGACACAGCCTTGGGAGAGGATATGGGGAGAAAGGAAGCCCCTTCCTGGTTACACGGTGTTTGGCGGCAGAGTGCCCAGAGAACCAGTGTGTTTCTGAGCGGTCAGCACAAGACAGGCAGTTGGCTTAGAATACATTGACACAACAGGATCACGCTGCCAAGTATTGTTAAAACAAGTTATTTCAAAGCTTTGTGAGGTCTTCAGCCTGTTGTATCAACCATTTCTTCATCGCCACTCAAACAGCAGGACTACGGGGAAGATTTACCCACTGAAGGCCTAGAGCCAAGGTCAATTGGCCCCCAAATGAACAATTTGTGCCACGCAAATGCACACGCAAAATACAGAAAAACCTTCACGATGGCAGAGGCCTGTGTGTACGATGCCCATCCCCCCTCTCCCCCCGTGGCCACGAAGCAGTACGAGGCTAGAAGAGCGTGTCTGGCAGACAGCAGGCAGATCAGAGCACACTACGCAAACACATTCGACAGGATGACCAAGTTGCTGTGGTAACACGAAGGTGGCACTTACATGAGTTCGTAATTCCTCCGAATTGTTTCTGGAATGTTTGGCTTCGTCACTCGGACTGCCTGGAAAGACAGCGAATTGGAGGAAGGTAAAACAAACAGCCGCTACACCACGAGCAACCAAAACACTGGCAACAAAGGTGGGGGACGTCAAATTGAGCCAAAGGATAATTAGGTGCCCGGAGGAACGCAACACGGAGTCTTGCTTAGAGAGTGATTTTCCAGAAATGGCGTGCCTCTCTCCATCCCGGCCCACCCAATAGCTAAGCATTCGTGTATCAGGCATGACCGTTCTCCTCACAACCAGCGCCTTACACAGCCCCCGGGGACCGGATTACCTGTATAATGAGTCCCGGAGCCATCGTGGTCAGGTCCTGCTGCAAAGCCAGTTTAAGGTTTTCATCAATCTGATCTGATATCAGAAAAGTGAGACACGGTTAAAGGACCCAAAGGAATTTGGCTCTCGGATCCCCTGAGGAGTTATTCAGGACAGGCTTGGAGCGAGCACTCTTGGAAATGAAAGGCAAGTTGAGGTTAGACACAGAGGCACCACCCCAGAGGGGAAATCAAGAGACACCTGGATGGTGTGTTTTGTTTAACAAACCCACAAACCTGAGCCAGGTCCTGAAGCCTTTCGGTCAATCGGGAATGATTTGAAACAGCAGGCTGAGCACAAGCAGACAGGATGGAATCACGTAAACAAGACGCAAGCCCGGACAAACTTGGTGGTGAAACCAAAACACCGCAATTGAGGTCGGGTGGAGGGGACAAGTAGCGGGTATCTGGCATGACTATGAACTTGCACCAAAGATTTCTACTAAAGGGGATTCACAAACGCCTACAACCTTCCCCAATCCAGTCACAGATCTTTGAGATGGATGGACCCCAGAGGTACTCTCAGAATCCACATTCTTGGGAATAACTGGACAATTTCTCAGGCAACTGGCAGCATCTCATGGGATAAATAGGACTGGATGCTTATCAACTCTGCCTGCCACTCAGATGCACAGGGCTCATCTGATTGCCAAAACAGGGGAAGGGATATTACCCCCAGGACATCGTGGAACTTCCACTGTTCTGAGCCAGATGTTATGAGGTCAGGTGGGTGTATGCGCTTTGGCAAGTTTCCTGCCATCGGGGGATCTGGATCTCTCTCATCTACTGTTTCTGGGTTTGTAAGCGTCTCTCTGTTCGAGGAACTCAGGGTGCCCCAAGCCTCCAGCAAGTACTCAAGGAAACACCCACAAGCACTAGAGGGATGCCGGTGTGTGGGAACTATTCTAATCAACATCCCCCAACAGCATTGGTCCAAATGGGTCCTGGAGCAGTCCCAACAATGTAAAGCCGAGCTGAGCCAGGCCCTGATCTCCCCAGGGCTGCATGTGTGCCAGCAAGAGATGGAACACGGAAAAGGGAGAAAGGTGAAAGGTCATCTCTGTTAGTTTAATAGGCTGGATACATTTTCCTCAGCAAGTCCAATTGGCTCCAAGGATAAGAATTAAATTCAAAGTCGCTGGGGAATTTCAAAAGGAAATAAAGAATTGAAAGCCCTACTTCAATGAAAACTCCACAGAAGGTTGTGTGTTCCACTGGGGCCTGCTGAGAAATGCAGCAGGAAAATAAAAAGTTAACAGCCCTGAAAGTGATCCAGGCTCACCATGCTTTGTCCCAGTTCGGGTGCCTGGAATTCACATTCAAACAACACATCGGCCAGGAGTTTAGGAAACAGCTGCTCTCAGTTTCCTGCACCTGCCTCCAGATGTGGAGGCAGGGAATCATGACATAGGTTTGTGTGCAATTGGCTGGCACCCCATTTCTAACTCCTCAGCCAAAAAGCATCCTGCTCAGACAGACACAATCATGGAGTTGTGCATAGAAATTGGTACGGACTCTTCCTGCCATGCAAATTAGCTTACTTCAGTCTCTTTTTAGCTTCTGTCATCAGTACCTGCTGCTGACATCTATGGGTGAAGAATTAATACGCTTTCTGATCATTCCCCTTCTGTTTCTCTACAGAACCCAAAGCTATGTTCTGTAGCAGTGCCCTCGTCAAAAGAGGGCCATCGGAGTCTCTTGAAAAGTGCAGTGCAGACGCAGCAGTTAACTATGAGTGGCCATCACACATTCCCATAGGAGGAATAGCTCATGCTCATGGAGTCATAAGAACAAAAATGCAGAGTGTCTGTGCAAATGTCCCACCATGAGATTATGCCTCTGGTGGCACCCTGCTGCCCTCTCTGGCCCGATAGGCTCACCGTTTCAAAAGAAAAATTAACCTGAAAAAACCCCAAAGAATTCAGAAAGGGTAAAGGTCAGTTAAGAAATGTTGTTAGGCCTTCTGCTTACACTCTCCTGTAAACTGGTACTCTTAGTCCTTGTACAGTCTAGTTTTAAGATGTCTACAAGAGAGGATGATTTGTCCCTTCCCGAGAGATCCCCGTGTTCCCACACACCCACATGGCAGGCCTAAGCGGCATAGTAATAGCTGCTTTAGCAGAACAGACAGACAAGCTCACCTTGCAGCATTTTACTTGCCTGGAATGTGTAACATTTCTTGGCAGGTAACTAAGCTCTTGTTTGTGGTGGCAAAGGGCAGGTAAAGGCTTTGTGCCTGGGCCGGTAAATTTCTCATGACAGTTTTGCAAGGGTTAGCTCAACAGACACATCCAACCAATGAAGCTTCCACACCTTCCCTTGGACCATCAGCTGTTCTGTTTGTGGCCAGGGCTGGTTCAACTTAATTACAGTTACACAGTCCTTATACTCCTGGCTCCAGAGGCATGTGTATTTATAATTCAGGAAATTGAATCGATCCTTGTCACAACCAGAACGGCAACTGGCATGATCTCAGGAGAGTTCCATCAGCTATGGAGAGGGCCTCGGAGGCTCTGAACATGCACGAATGGACTCTATGCGGTGGCAGCAGAAAACTTTGTGGAAGCAGCAGGAGATGTTGATAGGTTGGGGGGAATGTGAGCCCAAGCGTGGAGGGGATGACTCACCAAACAGCTCAATGTAGACCTCCTGAAGCGTGTGAACACTGCAGAACTGGTTCAGCTCATGGTGAATCTTGTTGAAGATGAGAGCTTTGTCATAGTCCGCTGTGTAGTTCTTCACTATGTCATACACTGGCGGGAAGGAGAGAGGTTTGCATTAGGAGAGCGGGGCAGCGGTGGTCTCCAATCGGGTCCCCCTCCGGGGATACATGCAATGGGAACGGGACACATCGGCACTAGTTACTGGGGCGTCTTGCTGCCAACGCCGGGAACCTCAACTCTAGCAAGTGAACAAAATGGAAAGAAGATCCCTGCACTGCAGAAACGCACTTTGCTCATTTATTTTGACAGGGAAGCTTTAATTATTGATGCTAATACTTGATAACATATTAACCAACGTGCTGTCACATCCCTTGTAAACATAATGAAGTCTTAGTAACACCAGACCTTTCCACGGCATCTGCTATTAAATCTTTGCTGAGAGGCGGTGAGACGCGGATGAGGTCTGGACAATACGAGATGTGGATTAATGAGTTTAGTCATGTACCAAGCAATTTGTGAGGCTCTCCGAGCAGGAGGAAGCTCCCAAGGCCCAAACACCACATTCAGATTTGCTTTTAACCAGTGGGATCTAAACCAGCCTGGTTCTGTCCCACTCTAATTTTTTTTGTGGTTCCACCAGGGTATTCACAAGCACAGCAGTTTGCCGTGAGGTTTTCAGCCCGTGTATCCCCTCATGCCACTCTTTTCCAATGTGTTAGCTGGCTGCTGCACTCCACCCCAGAGGTGGCTGCATCCCAGCAGGACCTAGGGATGTAAAATCCCATTTAACTGTTTAAGTGGTTAACCAATTAAATGGGGGTGGGCTGGAGCAGCCCTCCCACTGCAGGTAGGAGCTGCTCCAGCCCGGCCAGAGCAGACCCTGACTGCAGGGTGCTCTGACCCGCCACAATCAGAGGCTGCTCAGGATGACTGGAGCAGTCCCTGTCCCCGGCAGGCAGGGAGCTGTTTCAGCCCCTATCAGTTAACCAGCCACATCCCTAGTGCGACTCCAAGTACATCTGTTTGTGACGTATTTTGGGGAAACAGGATCAAGTCACTTAATCTGTATCTCAAGTGTCAACCCTCTGATCGTGCGCTGCATCCCTTTCTCCCACTCTTTGTCTGTTTAGAGTGTAAGCTCTTCATGACAGCACCTAGAACAAATACTGCCACTCATAAGGGTTACTAGAAGATAAATAATAAGCAGCTGATCGGTATTATTGATATTGCAGTGACAGGCTCTAGAAAAACGAGTATATCAGTGGCAGTAGCAAGAGCATGAAAATGAGACTAAAACAGAGAAATACACATAAAATAGTAAAACCGGTTTAGTGTCAAACTTAATTTTAAATTGTAACTGGTAAAGCCCAAGGAGCAGAGGGCTTCTGGGGACAGTGCCAATTTCTATGGCTCTTCCTTCCTCCAAAATCAATCACTGCATAGGCACATCTGATTGCTCTATCCCACACTGCGTTAGCAGGAACATATGGAGCGATCTGAAGGCAAAAGCCGTGCTAATGCTCAGATATGACAGTCCTTCCTATTGCAGCCTCACAGACGCATTGGCAGAGATAACTCACCAGCTCCTTGGATCAGGAAATTCACCACTTCGATCCTGTCAAAATAAATCATCACGCCCCCACTGTTTAAGGAAGAGAAAAAGAAAAAGGAGGGTGTATATTCCAGGGTAACACTGAGAACCAAATAAAGCTGTTCGCTAACACAGCCAGGGTCTAGGGCGGGCGTGGGATGTATGCAGCACTGGCTCTTCTGGAACAAGCCGCTGCTTATGCATAATAATTCCGCACGTAATGGAGACACGGATGGGAGGCAGGGAACAGAGCTTCCAGCCACACCACCCTGCGCCTGACCCCATCCTTAAAAGCCAAGTCTTACTGCACAGTTTGCTAGAGGCTGATGTGCTCTCCGATCATGCAACTGCCATACAGAGGGAATCAGGAGGGACCAGGCACAGAGAGAACTCCCTCTAGCGGGACGAAAGGGACACTTCAACGCCTCCAATGGTGTGCAAATCCAAACAGAAGGTCTCAGGGGAATCCCAACACCAATGGCTCAAGTTTACTCTGGATTTAGCAGTAAGCTAGGGACAATGGGCTCTAGTTTGGCAGGAATAGGTGTAGTGGTTTCAGTGCGGGGGGCTTTCTGGATTCCTTAATCCTTTCCTTAGCTCTTTGACTTTCTTGTGACCTCACACAAGTTCCTTATCCTCTCTGTGCCTCTATTTCTCCACTGGCAAAAAGAGGATAAAACCTACTTCCCAGAGAACATGTGAGGTTCCGTATTTGAGTTCCATGGACAGATAGTGCTGTGGAAAGGGTTATACATGCAATGGGCTCTGAAACGCAGGCTCTCCCCATTTGAAATTGAAGGTCAAGAATCAGGCCACAGAGATTGAGTTCCCCTGTGAGGCAGAGCGCTACTGTTTGCATAGTAAGAACAAACTAACACGCACCAAAGAGGCTGTTAAAACAAGGCAATGTCAGAGCATGTTGCAACTTCCTGAAAACATAGGATCCAGTTCAGGGCAGAGCAGGAAGGCATCTGACCAGCCTACTAAAGGAACAAAGGGCAAAGTACATTCAGATACGGCAAGCTCTGACTCAGCATGGGGGAGAAAGCAACAAGAAAAAAAACCAGCTTGATTGCTGTGCTAGAGGGTGGTCTGACATCTCACCTGGTACCACAAGGAACATTTTTCACCTCGTCTGTCTGCAGCGTAGTCTGGAGAGAGAAAGAACAAAGGTTCAGTTAAAAGCCAGCCTGCTTACAGTACCAGAGCTCTGTAGTTCCTTGGGTTTTCAGCAGCTTTTCTGCCAGGTTACAGAGTAATGTCTCTTGGGTTCCTCGTTATATCACCCTTTGTCCTGGAATAGCCTGGGAAACTGAACAAGCCAGAACAATATCTGCTTCTATTGATTCTGCCACCATTTCCTGTCCAGCACCTACCAGCTCTAGGGATAACCCTGAAAGCGACTTGCTGCTCGACAGAAAGAGTGCATCACTGCACCACTCTGAGTGTTTGCGCCACTGTTCTAAGTTGCAAGCTTATAGGACAGGTTCCAAGGCCAACTTCAGAATATTTATTCGCTGCTTGAAAGAAAAACGGAGGAAGAGAAAGAGATGGGGAAAAGAAAGGTGTACCATCCCAAGGAAATAAAATGGGGAAAAGCCCAGAAAGCACAGAGCAGGCCTGGGCAATTCCAGTGATGTAAACCCTGCAATAGTCTGTTGTGTCTAAGAGGGAAGAGGAGGAAGAAATATAAAAAGGGAGCAGGTAATGCAAAGACCATTTACAGTGCAGGATCCCTATGTCCTCTTCTGCTCTGGGGAAAAATGGCCCCATGCAGAGGTACAGCACAAGCTTTATGAAGTTCTGCTTAAAGCCCTGTGGGTTAAGTGGTGCATAAGCCTTGCACCGGCCCCCTGCACACGGGCCATTTTCACCTTTTGCGCAGGTAGAGTCAGACCAACGCCGACTGACTTCAGCAAATATTGAATCAGGCTCATATTGAGCATAAGGGCATTTCCTCCTCCTGCCTAGATTTTCCACTGAAGCATAATCAACATCACAGACTGTTGCCCTGGAACAGATTGTGATGTCCCAATGCAACACTTTCTGAGCAGCTTGGTGGGAAAACACTAATTTAAACAGATAAATGCAAAAAATACCTGCACTGATTTGTAGGAGGTTATGAAAGGGAGCATAAGGTGGAAGCCAGGTCCACTTGTGGAAGTCAGCAATGCCCCACCTCTGCAGGAGAAGAAACAAAGAGAAGAACGGCACACGGTTTATTCACAAGTATCTGGTCCGAGAAGGAAGGCATGGAAGGCATTACAGGTTAGATCCACTGAAAAGGTAAATAAACTGACATCTTGTCACTTCCAAACAGATAGATATCTGCACTTGTCAGCTGTGCTTGGACACTATTCTCCTTCAAGTTCACCCTATTGTCAATAAGCAAGGAAAAGCTGTTCTCTGTGGTTGTGAGGGCTGGTTTTGCTTTGTCACAAGCCACGTTTAATTGCCAGTTAGGGTGTGAAAAGTCACCCGCTAACTAAGAGTCAGACACACAGCATTAGGATTGTGGATTTGAAAACCTTTACAAATTCATGATCAAAACATGGAAAAACACACCTTCAGAATGAATGATCTCTAAAGACATAAATAACCCCAAAGCAGATGGAGACAAACTAAATATACCCTAAGATTAATACTTGAAAATCAGTGCCATTAGATTTGGACCTTCCACCTCCAAGCCATTGGTTCAAATCCAGTAACCAAAAGCTGTTACAATGCAACAGCTGTTCATTAGTTTATGTGGAACGAGTTAGTGGAAGGGTCTCCCATCACTAAAACATGTTAATACATTTGTCATTAGTCAGCCCCTCGGTTGGCAGGTTCATCAGAGCTGCTAAGGGTTGAATGAGTCATGGAGACCGAATTGCTCTCACACACAAAGGACGTCCCTTTAGCTCAGGGCATACTTTTTAGAAGGGAAGCAAGCAATGCCAATGCTGTATGTTATCAGAGGATGAACAGAGGACTTAAATCCTTGTGGCTGCCAGCTCCGCACTTTTCATCTACATCTCTCACTCTCCAGTCACCTGCCAGACATCTCAAACCAGAACCCAAACTTCTGTTTCTCTCCTAACATAGCTAACATCACAAGCCCCTGACACAGAGCAGAGAGCTGCAATCCTTATTCCCATATTAGGATTTGGGGGCATCATCAACTCTTCTGGGGATAACACAGAAGCTTGAATTCAGACTTTACATCCAGGTGAAGGAGGATGGTTCACAAGTTTTTCATATTAATGCGGAATCACTGATCATTTCTAAGACTGCCGGTGTGCCTTCTGCCAATTTGGGATCGCAAACTTTGTCTTTCCCAACTCCACCACACTCTGACAGTAAATTGGCCTCTGACGGGGGAAGCCACTGGATAATGGTTTCAAAATATTGTGACCCAAACAATATTCCAGATGCATGCCTTACCTATAATAAACGCCAATATGTCCTTCTTCAATTTTGTGAATTGCAGAGAAGAGAGCTGCAGCCAGAAAACTAAGAGACAGGGCCGCTATCGCACCTAGTTGGGCCATTCCTGAGTGCACGGCCTGGGCAAAGGGACATAGAGCACGAGATCAGAGACTGAGAAATATTTAACCAAATGCACGTTGCCTAATACTAACACTAGATTTAATAATAACTATGCTTCCAGCTGAGGGTGCTTCACAGAAATTAAGTCCCATAGGTATTCCCAAGGGGTCAGTTTTACTCCCATTTTATAAATAAGGAAACTGAGGAAGTGAACTGGCATGCCCGTTGTCATGGAGTGAATCTATAGTAGAGTTGGGAACTGAACTCAGAAGTTCCATCTGCTGCTCTAGCCACCCCTCGGCAACATCTCAGACATCTCTCTCCTGTTGTGCTTTGATTAAAGTATCAGTTTTAAGACACCCTCCCCCCGCCACCACCGCATCCGGGTATAGTTAAAGGAAAGCCTAGTGCAACTTCCACTTCACGTTATCTTACCCATTACAGAGATAGCTTCCCCAATTATCACCTCTAATATCATTAGCTCACAGACATTTACCTCCCGCCCCCCCATTCCCTTTCTGTTCTGAAATTTGATTTGTCCTTTTCGTATGTGTTCATTTTTTAACATTGTATCCTTTGGTATATATGGTTGTGACAATTTTCTTCCACTATTTGATCTGAGGAAGTGGGTCTGGCCCATGAAAGCTCATTATCTAATAAACCATCTTGTTAGTCTTTAAAGTGCTACATAGTCCTGTATTTTGTTTCAGCTACACCAGACTAACACGGCTACATTTCTTTCACGTTATTAGCATTCTCCAGGCTCAAGCTCCACGGAGTTTAAAGCTGCTCTGCTATCCTGGCAACATGTACAGGTGCACTAGAGGACTCTTGGCAAACAGTGTGTTTGATGTGGACACATTAACTCCAGGTGCTATATACCCCCTCAACGGGACAAAAGGCCTCTTGCAATCCTGATTAAATGACAGAGGCTGCCAAATGAAACATTGTAACTGAGCTGCACCCACAGAATAGTAATTGAATATTATTTGAAAACAAACTGTTATTTACTATTTGCAAATGTCAGAGCATGCATGGGACTACATAGGATCTTATGGTCTAGTTTGGATATTCAGGTTGCGGCGGGGGAGGTCTAGGTTGGATATTGGGAAAAGCTATTTCTCTAGGCGGGTGGGGAAGCTCTGGGCTGGGTTCCCCAGGGAGGGGGCGGAATCTCCATCCCTGGAGGTTTTTAAATCCCATCTTGATAAAGCCCTGGCTGGGATCAATTAGTTGGGATTAGTCCTGCTTTGGGCAGGGGCTTGGACACAATGACCTCCTGAGTTTTCTGTCCGCCCTGGGATTCTATTCTAGGACTCTACTAAGCATCGGAAATCGGCCCCAGGAGCCCAGGCAGGGCATTGGGCCAATAAACCCTGATCTGGGCCAGCGTGGCAGCCAGCAGGCCTGTTTGCACCCGAGCGCCTGCCTCCAAGAAGCGCCGGTGTCTTTGCTCTGGGGGGAAAGGGACCGAC